ATATATATATATATATATATATATATATATATATATGGCACTCCTCCATAGAAGAAGGCAGGAAGGAATTTTCTTCGCTGCCTTGCGTAGTATTTATGAAAATATCTCAGGTATTATTTTATTGTGACTCCTTTCCTTCCATCATCCTGCTTAGGATCGAAATTTGTTTTTACCACTGTTGTTGTGTTATTGCCTCCCTAGTAAGCCCCCCAGTTCCAACTGTCTCTAAGCATTTCTGTTTTATTCATAAATAGTGTGTCATTTAGCCCCTTAACGCCTGATTTATTTTTTGAAAAATTCACCCAACCGCACTCACGCGTGTCTCACAACAGAGAAGTATTAGCACGTATTAAACATGTTTCAAACGGCAGTGGGACCTTCTGTTACGGGTCTAGTACCGGTGGAGCTTATTTTGAAAGAGAGCTGTGTACTGTCCTGAGGGGTCGTCAAAGGGTTAAGTTAGATGTTTTCTGCCTATCCTTGTCGCAGTAGTAGCATTTATTATACAATTGGCAACTAAGCACGTATTATTGTTTTTGCCTTAAGTTTTCCTTCATTTCAAATTGTATTCTCGTTTGTTTGGGAGGAAAACCGGCGTAATTTTTGAAATTTTTTCTCTCGCCACTGTCTTATTGTTATTTACATCAAGTTTTAGGCTCCGGCCTTGCCTGGATGTTTATCAAGCTGTCAATGCACTGTGATTGGCATTCTCTCAGTCAGAGAAAAAAAACCCGAGTCTCCAAATTATAGCGAGGTCGTGTTTTTTTCTATTCCAAGTCTTTCATAGATCCGTTCCTGCCTTTTTCGCGTTGTTTAAATCAATTTTGTTGCCAGCAAAACTTTATTTTCTTCTTCTTATTCTCATGTTTGATGTTTGACTCCCTGATTGATTTTCGCCAACGAAACAACTTCTCTTCCTCCTCCGGCCATTTGCTATAATAGTTTATCGGTCTCTACCTCTCCTCTCCCTAATTGTGAGCAGCGGGTCATCCCTAATTTGTTTTCTGTACATTCCAGAAATAGTACATAGCTTGTTTTTTCTGAAAAGAATAAATATTTTGAAGATTCTTCATTTAAAATCTTTCAGTTTTTCTTCTTTGTTTTTTCCCCCTTTAATAAGAAGCACGTCAATGAGACCATGCGTTTTCTTCCATCATCATCATGGGCAGATTTCTTACCTTCTATCCTTTCCCATTTATTTCGTATATTTGATTAAAACTCGTCTCATTGATAAGCTCTGAAGATTGAATGGGAGGATTTAAAGTAATATTTGCAGATTGGAGATAGGGTTGAAAGTTTGATTCGAGTTTTTTTTGTCATTCAATTGGTGTTGTGGTTCGTGGATCTTTGTCTTATAAAAGCTTTCACGGTGCTAGTTAGTTGGTTTCGTTCCGATCCGGTTTTTTGAGTGATCGGGTTATCACTCACCCTCCCCCCCCCTGGTATCAGCTTTCATTGGCAAAGGAGTGTACATTCCCTCCCACTTTCATAATATCACATTTCACAGCCCCCGCTCTTATGCATGTGATAGTAGAACAAAAATAAAGAAAGTGCATGCCAATTGACCGTGTTTCGTTGCCTGGATGATGGCACAACTCCCTCAAGCGTGTCCTCTCTGTTTCAGATACCGCGTACATGTATATTTTAGCATTGATTTTAATGCTAAAGATCTACCAGACTCGACACCCGGACATTAACGCTTCCGCTCACTCTGCCTACATGGTCATGGCCGTGGTCATCTTGGCTGGTGTCACTGGTGTGGTAAGTCAGCAAACTTTTTTTTCTTCTCAAATGCCCCTTGTTTTTGCAATCAGGAGTTGCCCGTTTATGAGCCAATTTTTTTCTCGAAAGTACAAAATTGGACAGGGAGATGTGTGCAGCTTTTAATGCTCTTTATTTGGGAAGGAAGAGAGTGTAAAAAGCGTAAAAATTTTTTCTTGAAACGCACTTTGCCTCCCGTTAATCTGGCAGAGTAGCAGAAATGAAGTCAAGCTACGCACTAAACTACATACCTTGAATGCTCATCGTTCATTTTACAGAATCTAATGCATCATCACAGAAACAGCTTACTTCGATTATTGAAATGAACTTCCAGATTCAATTCAATGCAAGACCATTAGTCAATAGGGGCAAACCCAAACGGTTTAAACAGCTGCTGCAGACGGTTAGAAATTCAAACGAACCCTCTTATTTGTTTTTTTCTTAAAAATTATGTATTTATTTGATTATTTGGCTTTTTTTCATAGTTGCTTCCCTGGGAATGAAATTAGTTGCTATTCTGGTCTTTTTGCCCTGAGTTTGCTTGGAAAACCAGTATTCTTCTTAACACACCCGGAATTCTTGTTTTTTTAATTTCATTCATGTTGTATTTAAACTTTAGCTCTATGGGGGCGAAACTTTCTGGGTTGTCTTTACAATCGTCTTTCTTATCATGAGTATTTGGCTCACTGCTGAAATCTACTACATGGGTCAATGGAACTTTGGTAGGTTCACTTTTATGCTATACATTAATTAATATTAGATTACAGATTCCAATTTGAGGTTTTCCCCAGAAATTAATTGCATTTTTGTTATTAAAGTTATCCATTTGCACACTGAATGTTCCCAGCTGACACTAATTTTTAAACTAATTATCTAAACCGCGCGTAAATGTCTCGATGTATGAACATTTAGAGACTGAGCTCTACTCAATTCCTTTTTTGGGGGGAAAAATAGCTACTGGCGCGATAATTTCTATTTACTTGAGCCTGCTTCATGCTGGATATGATTTTAAGCGGGCTATTATTGTTCTCGCATAACCCCAAGATATTCCATATCCCACCCACACATTCAATTATTCTTAACGTTTTGTCTACTATTATTACTTAAGTAATATATACTTTACAGCATTTCCGTATTTACGCTTATTTTAGATATTTGCCTTCCACGTCGACTCTACCATCTGATGCGTTCAGATGGAATTCATTGCTTGACACCCATGTACATGGAGCGCATGCTTCTCCTCCTCGTTGCCAACTGTGTTAACATTGGAATGTGAGTTCAAGTATTTTTGGAGCTTTCACAGCCCTGTGAAGCCACATGTCCAAGTTCTTATACTAGCTGTTGAAGGAGGGGAGTGGTGGTAGTTTGTTCCATACTTAAATTCACCAACAGAACTGGCTGTTAAAATTTTTAATCTCTGATTGAAAATGTAAATTTGGAATAGTTTTTTTCTTATGTGATGCCTCTCACTTCGGTTGTATGCATAATTGCATACACAAGACGTTTCTCTTGCAACGCTATCACTTAAACACTAGACAAACTATAAATGTTAAAATTTTAGCTTATTCATTCGGGCTTAATATCCTCTCTCATTTTGCACCCTTTTAGGTTTAAATGCTGTTTTTTAACATTCTTTGGTCTTAATGATTTAAGTATATGATAGATTCTTGTATTGTTTTTTTGCAGATTTTTTGAAATTTTAGGCCATCATTAACATATATTTTGGTTTCAAGTTGTTGATAAATGGTGATTAGTTTTCCCTTATACGGCGAACTAAAGTCGATATTAATATAGAAATCGATAAAGGCCTAACTTATTTGAGATTGAATTCTTGTTGTATCAGATTTAGTCAGGGCGCAGTTTTGTGTTATTCGTCTCCACTATCTGTCTGTTTCACTTCTATAAACTACTTAATTACATTTCTGGCCCACAGAGCTGCCTTCGGTCTCTTCACTCGCCCTCGGGATTTCGCCTCCTACCTCCTCTCTATTTTCATGATTAATCTTCTTATGTATTACTGCTTCTATGTTATTATGAAGGTATGTCTACCACTGTATGCAATTCATAAAAGTAAAAACGTGTCGTCTATATCCATGCTTTCCTTTAGTGTCGCTATAGAGAACGCTTCCACTGTATACCACTGCTGTACATCTTCCTCGCCTGTATTACTTGGGGATTCGCCATCTACTTTTTTATACAACACTCCACCACCTGGGAGGCGAGTTTTTTTGTTGTCTATTTCTCTCTCTCTTTCTACTGTTTGTGGTGTTTCATTAGATTTTTATGCATAACAAATTAGCTCTGTTAAATAGGCCTGACCATCGGCCCACAATGAGTTATGCTTGGAGGGGAGAGAGAGGAATTGGCGCAAGCGGATAATCCGCCCTTACATCAAAAGTACATCACTTCACTTGAAATCGAAAATCGTTATTTCCTCTACCCCCCCCCCCCCCCCCCCACTCGTACACGTAAATAGTTAACTGTGCAATAAGATTTCATTGCAGGGTTCAGATTTCAGAATCTGAGTAATTGGTTTATGGTTAATTGCCCATCTCCTTTGTGTTTTGGGGTTAATTAATTGAACTATTAAAAACTGTAGTGACTTAAAATGCACTTTCTTGTTATAAGGAAATTCACTTGCTTTTGTAAAGGCTTCTCTTCATTGGTTCGATTCCAAGTTGTAAAGACATTTGTTTAGAGTAAAACTGTTTTTACAGTCAAGGAATTTCGGCCTTTCAGTTACTCATGTAATTTTATCTGCCGAGAAAATGACAAGGCACGCATTTCTATTCGCAGCACTCCGTTAGTGCACTATCTGAACTCCCTAATTAGCGCTTTTAAGCCTTCTCTTGAATTTTCTAATCATTTCTCTAGTGTTATTCGACATTGCACCAAGATGTCTGAAGTTCTTTAAGTAACTTGTTACTTGGTTCCATAGGTAACCCCCGCCCAATCTCGAGCTCTTAACCAGCCGTGCATCTTTCTCGGTTTCTACGATGTTCACGACGTTTGGCATTTTCTCTCTTCCACATCTATGTTCTTCTCTTTTATGGTGAGTTGTCGTTCTTTAATTTTGCACATTGTGTTTCCCCTCACCTCCTCATCCCTCCACTCTTTTTGTTTAGTCAATCATGACCCTCGATGACGATCTGATCAATACACCAAGACACAAGATCCCGGTGTTTTGATTTCGCTGCTTTCTCCATTATCGATTGCCCATCCCTCCGCCGCCCCCCCCCCTCTCCTCTCCCTTTTACTGCATCCACCCAACATACCTCTCAGAAATCCTCCTATTTCTTTATTTCATCTGCTGTGAGTTCCTTGCAGGCGAATTGGGAAGATATTTGTATGTGTAAGGAATTGGGGTACTGGTATACGGTGAAAGACCTTTGTTATGATCTAATCAATGCTCTTGTAATATCTCTCCTGCAATGAATGGGAATTTTAATTTTATAGCTAAATGATTATGATTTCGCTCTTGTAGCAGCTTATTGGGAAAATTAAAAACTTATGTACGAATATAAATCTCCTATTTGGATTCCAAACTGTTTGAAATTCTGAGTCGGAATTGGGGCAAAAGTAAGATACTTCCATACTCTTATTGAAAGCAATATCAAATGCTATTTTGTTACTAAGACTAAGTCTAGAATATTACTTACTTTCCGTTGTTGCATGTCCACACTCGCACTTGGAAATGAAGTCTTACTACTGGCCAATCAGATTATGCTTCTCGTGACCCACCTTGGCGCCATTTATTTCCTCTTTGGGCAATCTTCATTCAAAAACTCCCTATTATTTCTCATCTCTAAGGCACTAGATTTCCGCTTTAAGCTGTATTTTTACTCTACTAATATGCCTTTTGTAGTTTGCTTGCTATTCCGTCAATTCCGTTGGTCAGTGTTGGCCCATGTGGGTGTCAATGTAAATGGTGCCTTCCCCCCTCCCCCTTTACTGAATGTTGGATGTATTTCAATAAATTTTGATAAAATTTAAAAGTGATGAAAGTCTGTTAAGGATTTCTTGTGATTTTACCTTTTATCATTAATTTATGAAAGCAGTTAATCCTCATATTTCGGAGTAATTGTAGTTTACACTTCGTAAAATATGTCGTTTTGTATGGTTGTTATTGGGAGCGAAAACTAAATACCATCTTCACTATGAACAGGGTAGAACAAATTCTGGCAAGAAATTGTGAATTTCTCTTGAAATTCTATTTCTCGATAGAAGCAAATAAAATGATATTTTGTAAAATTAAACTAGTTTCTGGATCTTACCTAGTAGAATGAAATGGATGAAATTTTCCCGTGAACTGTCCTCTGACCGATTCGGTCATCGTGACAGCCATTAATTTTTTCCCACATCTCCACGATGCTGATAATTCACCAATGAGAATTAATTGCCTCCATCGAGTTGAACTTTGGAGAGGAATCAACTTGCTCAACTTTGAAGGCATTTGGGCCTAAAAAGCATTTTGTGATTAAAAGTGTGGCAAATGAGAATGTATTCCTGCTCTGTTGTTATTTCTCTACCAGAGGATTTGTCAACGTGATTGAACTCGTTGGATAGCTGATTTCCCCTCATACAAAAATAACCTTGCCTTTGTGCCATATTGCTCAGTTTCTTATGCCTAACTTAGAAAAAATAATCAATAATAATGTAGATAACGGGCGCACGATATAGCACAACCATTGGTAAAAAGTGATACGGTACTGCGAGTGACTCTCTGAGGTTAACCAATCAACGAGAAATAAAATTTAGGGAAAGTGAATGCTTAACTTCACTGTTCATCTCTAAGTGAATGGACTTATTGTCGGATAAAATGCTAATAAATATAGGAAAGTGAATTTGAGCAAAAGCCCTTCTCCATAGATGATTGAAAATATTAAGTTTCATTTTTTCAAATATCACGGGTCTCGATTTTAATCAACTGCATGTTTTATAGTGTAGCGGATTAGCTACCTCAATAACCTTGACTATTCAGTTTCTTCCAACTCGAAAGTCTCCGGGAATTAGCACGGAATACGTTTATACAGTACGTACATTGATAGCAAAGTGTGCACGCAGGGAGCTACTCATGATCAGGATGGGGATTAGGTTAAACAGAGGTTGATGATTGGTCACTGTTTGTATGGTCGCAGCACACAGAGTTGTACGGCCGCACCTCCCAATCCTGACGAGCAGACATGCAGGCATACGATGACGCACACAGCGAAACGTGTCCCACAATAGCCATTTTAAGATATATCTATTTATTTTGCAAATTTGACCACAATTGGCTGTAGAAATAGGAGGATTTGTGGCTCTTCGAATTGAAATAAGGCTCAATTTCCACCTTGAATAACGTTGCCTTGAAAATTCGAGATATTTAGAAAGATACTATTTGGTTGGAGCTTAGGTGCGTTGGCCACTGGGTAACAATTACTCGAGTTGCCTTTGTTTTCTGCTAGCAAATATATATATATATATAATTGATCGATTTTGGTGGCATCGATTGAACACACCTTCAAATTTTCCCCTCATCCACTGAAATATCATTCAGTTCACTACCACCTTCAGACTTGAATATGAAAGATCAGTTCAGAGGAAGACTCCATTGCTGCCACAATCATCGATGGGAGAGGCTTTCTCTCAGTCAATTCTAAATCTGTGGATTTAATTTCCCTAAAGCTTATTTTTTCTTGGGGTGCAAGTGTTCTTATTTGTGGTAACTGAGAGCAATTTAATATTTTCGTATTCCACATGCCAAATAAGCTTCCTCTAGTAGAAAGCGCAGAAAAATGTGAAGTATGCCGCTGGTATGGATCAGATTTGAACGAAGTTAATTTTAAAGCAACTCCCACTGTTTGGCTCAAATTGATACTCATTGTCATATGATCAGCACACTGCTTACACTTCCTTTCTATAAAAAAGCATTATTTAACGACCCATTTAGCTAGACCTCCTAAAATAGGGGGGGGGGGAACTGATTGATTTTCTCATCTTCTATGTTTTCCCACAGTATCCACTTTTTTATAATAATTGATTGGTGAATATTGAGGCATTTAGATTTCATTATCACAGTGAGTTTTTAAAATCGCATAAAAAGACCTCTTCGAAAGTGCTCTTCTCCTCTTCCCGATTTTTTAAACTGTTACAAAATTTTGAGGCTAAAGTGTCACTGTTCCCCCAAAAGGAGAATATGATCTGGAAAGCCAAACCAGCGAGTTCTCCGAAATCCTTTAGTGCTACCGTGGCCGTTGCTGAAAGAAAGGATGGACCAGTCCAAAAAATTAGAAACCAGAGTATCTTCGTGGGCCAAAGTGCATTGAAAATATTGACATACTGGGGTGCGTAATAGACTTACCTCCACGTGGCGCATCCTGGGCAACATATTCTCATACGACAAAAAATTCTATTATTCGGCAGTTGATTTCTGGCGACAAACTACCATGACCCCACTATATGTCATATTCGACTACTTTCACAGTACTCATCTTACCTTTTCCCTACCTCTGTGTCTGTCTGTCTCTTTTACATCTGTAAATCATTAAACTGTCCCCCCCCCTCTCGACTTTTTTGCCACTTTAATGTTCCTCCTCCTCTCTGTGAAGCCCGGAGTCAGCTAAAGGGCTAATGATAACTATCAAAATACCTGCCATTTGAAATAAATAGATTACTATTGACGCACTTGAGCAATGACGAGATTGGAATATATACGCAGGTTGTTTGACAATAGAGCAAAGCTTAAGTTATCTACATAGAGGTTTGAGTCATGGGAAGAAAAAGTTGAAAAACAGCCCACTTTCAAACACAGTTCAAATGGCAGGCGTTTTGATAGTTATCATTGGCCCTTTATCTGACTTCGGACTTCACAGAGGAGAAGGTACTTCAAAGTGAGAAAAATTCGAGAGGGGGAACAGAAGAGTG